GGCTGAGCTTGACAACCTCCAAGCTGGTCCAACCACAAAGACTCAGCTTTGGTCAGCTGGAAAGTCCCTCTAATTAGGCCACTATTGGTACCAGGCAAGAAGATACATTACCAGAAATGAGGATAAGGGAGAATAGCAGCTAAAATGGGACAGATATGTCCATGTGATTTTTATTTGGTAGTCACTATCAAAGTGTTCTCTGTAGGGGAGCCGAGGGAGTGTGCTGGGTGCCCAGAAGGTGGCTTATCCTGCCTCAGGTCCACAGTGCTGATCAGGAGGAGGCCTGGGCTTGAAGCATTATCCTGGGGGAAATGGTCCTTTCTAGAACACTGCTAGCTTTAATATCCCCTTTGCCTGATGAGCTGAGTTCTCCAGACTATTGAGAAAGCTCTGAACTGGGAGTCGTGAAATCCCTCCCCTAATCCTGACAGGACCATGACAAACCCCCTCCCTCCCCTAGTCCTCGGTGTGCATCTGAAAATGAAGGTACGGGGCTGGCTAGATGAGCAATGCCCACGTGTTTGGATTTCACACATCAGTAAAAAGCTAAAGGAGCGCTGCGGGGAGGGGGGCCTGGAAGAGAAACTTAGATTAAAAAAAAACAAACACTTTATTTTGATGGCTCCTGGGTGGCTGAGTCAGTTAAGCATCTGCCTTCAGCTCAAGTCGTGATCTTGGGGTCCTGGGATGTAGCCCCACATCGGGCTCCCTGCTCAGTGAGGAGCCTGCTTCTCTCTCTGCCCCCCCCCCACCGCTCGTGCGCGCGTGCTCTCTCTCTCTCTCAAATAAATAAATAAAATCTTTAAAAAAAACTTTATTTTGTCACATCAGGACATTAAAAACAAAACCCATCTATCGTCTGTAATTTTATAACAGAAAAACATTTTAACATCATACAAACTAGGAAGTATCTGTAAATTAAGGATAGTTTTTAAAAGGGAATACACTTAACTTTAAGGAAAAGCTCATTATATTATTCTTACTTTTCTCATTTTACTTCACTGTGTGAGTTTTCTGTTGCTGCCCTAACAGATGACCACAGATTTCGTGGTTTACGCCACAACCACTCATCGATCGGCTCACAGCCCAGGGGCCAGAAGTCCAGGCCTTGTGTGATTGTGTTGGGTCCTCTGCTCGGGACTTCACAAGGTGTCAGCTGGGCAGGGTTCTTAACTGGAGGCTCACCTGGGGAAGAGCCAGGTCTTTTTGATTTTAGGACTGAGGCCCCCATTTCCTTGAGCTGTGGCCCCCTTCATCTTCAAGCTAACAGGCACACAGAATGTATCTTATGCTTGGAATCTGATTTCACTCCCGCTACGAGCAGGAAAGATCTCTGCTTTTCCGGGCTTGTGTGATTACATGGATCACCTGGATAATTCTTTAAGGTCAGCTGATAAGAAACCTTAATGATATCTGCAAAGGTTTTGCCTGTAACATAACATATTCATGAGAGTAAGATCAAGGGGTACAGGTCATGGGGGCCAAAATTCTGCCTTCCACATGCAGCCTGGTGAAAACGGAGTCAGAGTAACATTTTGGAAATACTAGAAGATTCTTCCAGCTCAAATACTGGTTGTCAAATAGTCTCCTGTTCTTGAATTGACATTCAGAAGTTGTGTATTTGGGAGAAGGCAGGACATCATCATTATTACAGAATCTTGCCCAGACTAGGTGCCGGGGAAATGTTTGCAGAGCAAACAAGTATTCCTAAGTTCCTTGTTGCTAATATTATTTTAATGCAGCTTTGATTATAAATCTCATGGTGCTTTATTATCATTGTCATTAGTTACAGATTAGAAAACAAGCTGAAATCATTACAGGAATGTATTAAAATGGAAATGATTCAGTAAATCATGGTAGAAACAATTAAAACATGACCTGCTCTGTTCTGTCTGCTGTGTTCTGCGGAGGGTGGAGAGCGTTGCTTTCAATCAAGGAACAGGGACAATTAATAGAGGGCCCCAGGAAGCAATAAGAATTTAATCTTTCTTCTTTCCCTCCCCCCTTCCTTCCCACCTTCCGTTTTCTCTCTCTCTCTCTCTCTCTCTCTCTCTCTCTCTCTCTCTCTCGGCAAAAAAATTAGCATGGTCATTTTTTAAATTAAATTTAAATTTAAAAGTGGCATTATTTCCCAAATCCCTGCAGGCTGCAATCCAACACCCTCACTTGGCCCCTTAGCCTTCACCCAGGGCGCTTTGCCGCCATCCGGGCCCCGCCCCTCTCCCCGCTCGACCACCGTGCCCCATGTGCCGTGGCCACCTCTGCGCTGTCTCACCGCTGGACAGTGGGCTCTCTGAGGCCAGCCACCACTCACACTCGTGTTTCCAGCTCTGTTGGCACCCACTGTGGGTCAGAGTCTCTCAAATGAGGATGGAGCAGCAAGTACTAACCCCCTCTGGTCCCACATTATGGTCCCTTAAGGGGAAGGGAGAGGGAGCAGAAAGGAAGAGGAGGACACAGAATGGAGAGGAAGACAAAAATAAGGAGAAAGATGTGGACGTAGAAGGAGAGGAGAGAGGGCAGATACAGGAAGACTGTCAGAGGGCTCCGTCATGCATGCGACGGATTCTTGCCGAGGCCCCTGGGTGAGCTCTGGGGGAGACCGCTGTGAAAACAGTGACAAAAATCTTTGCCTTCAGGGGCTTACATTCTAGTTGGGAGGTCAATCTACAGGCAACAAGAAATAGACAAGATGATTTCAGATAATTTTAAGAACTGCCTTAGGGCGATAAATAAGGTGGCATGTTAGGGTGTGACTGGGGGTGGGGGATATTTTGTATAGGGGGACAGTGATGACTTCTCTGAGGAGGTAACAGCTATGCCGAGACCTGGATGATGAGAAGGAGGGAACCCTGTCGAGAACCAAGTGAATACTGTCCCTGGCAAAGAAAACAGCAAGTGCAAAGGCCCAGAGGCAGGAAGGAAATTGCTTTCCATTTCAAGGAGCAGAAAGGAGGCTGGTGAGCTGTACTTGGTGAGCAAGGGAGAGAGTGGAGGGAAATCAGGTCAGAGTGGGAGGCAGGTTGCACCTTGTGTCTTCTTGTATCCATTATGACAGGGAAGGTTCAGACCCTGGTACCAAACCTGTAAATGATACAAAATAGTTATTATATAACCAGTTAGCCTACCACGTAGAGCCTTTGCTAGCTGCCCTGCCTAAGAGTCATCTGATTGGGGGAATTTAAGCCCCAGGCACCTTACAGTTCTCTACAACTGACAAGATGTGCCAGCCTGTAGTGATTTTCTTTTCTGTCCCCAAAGGTTATTTTTATTGCCTTATAGGACGTTAACCCGTTTTGTATCTATTTTGGCAATCTTACCTTATTTCTTATTGTTCCATTCACTGTAAAAATCCCTGTCTCAGGTTTCCTTTTGAATCCACTTTGTCATCCTGCAGATCCCCCTATTAATGAGTTAAATAAAAGGTTGACACGTACCCACTATCGATTTTCATAAGAAGTATGTTTTTAACCTTTTGAGAATTATATTCTGCTAGGAGTTGGGCTTTAAGCGCACGGAAAGCAGGACAGTCAGAAGGACCGGTTTATGTTTTACAAAGCACCCTCCGACGGCGGCTGGGTGGTGAGCAGGCTCACCTGGGCCCCCGGGGAAGCGAGAAGCCCGGCTGGGCGCCTACCTCTGTACACGGAAGAGATGACCACATGGCTTGAATGATGGAGGTGCAGGTGGAAGTGAGTCCTAACTGACTCCCGATATTTGAGGACAATATGTCCTTGTTCATTTCCATACTGGATCGCCTGGATCTGTTTTAGGGCTCGGTTCTCCGCTCTAGGATGTGAGCGCCTGGGCAGGGGGCCGGGTCCAACTTGTATGTTACTACAAGGACTAAAAGGACTGAACACAGCAGTGCATGGCAAGTGTTTGCTGAGCGAATTCTTCCCCCTAGATTCTCCTCCTCCTCCTCTTCCTTTTCTTCCTCCCCTTCTTCCTCCTCCTCTTCTTCCTTCTTTTTTTATTGTGATAAAATATGCAAAACATAAAATTTACCATTTTAACCATTTGTTAAGTGCACAAAAGAGTGGCATATAGGTACATTCACATGGCTGTGTGACCATCACCACCATCGGTCTCCAGAATGTTTCCATCCTCCCAAACTGACACTCTGTACCCATTAAACACTGACTCCCCATTCCCCTCACCCTCAGCCCACCCAGCAGCCACCATTCTCCTTTCTGTCTCTATGAATCTGACTGCTCTAGAGGCCTCATCTAAGTGGAATCCTACAGTAACTGTCCTTTTGCATCTGGCTTGTTTCACTTAGCATAATGTCATCAAGGTTCATCTGTGTTGTAGAACGTGTCAGAATTTCCTTCCTTTTTAAGGCTGAAAAATACTCCGTTGTGTGCATATGCCGCATTTTGTTTATCCCTTCATCACTGTCCCCCTATACAAAAGGTGTGCAAATACCTCTTGGAGTCCCTGCTCCCGGTCCTTTGGGCTGTCTACCCAGCAGTGGAATGCCGACTCGCATAGCAATCCCAGTGAACCTTTTTGAGGCCTTGTAGTACTGTTTCTTCCTGCAGCTGCATGTTGTACGTTCCCACCAGCAACGCGCCAGCATCCCAATTTCTCCACATCCTCGCCAACACTTACCATTTTGTGCTTTTTTGATGATCGCCATTCTAATGGGTGTGGATTTGTCCCCTTTTGACATGTAAATGACTCCAGGAAGGGGGAGACCCCAGAGTGAGGCATTGGGGGGCCCTTTCCTCTGTGTGCTCTGCCGGAGAGCCAGCGGTCCTGGGTTGGGAAGGTGCTCAGCGGGAGGAGAGCCAGGATGGGGGGGTTCCAACATCACACTCACTGAGCTTATAGCCTGGGCTGCTGGCTGGCTTAGAGAGAGGCCTCCCAAGTGGGGGAGCTGAAACCCAGCAGGTTTCCCATGAGGAAATTTGTTTGTGTGAATCCACCGTTGGGCCCCTGTCCCTGGGGAAAGCTGTTTCTAATTCGGGCTTCTCTTTCTGTCTCTTGCTCTCCAGTGTGATAATGCAAAAGGGTTGAAAGCCTTCTACGATGCAATAAAATACGGACCGAACCACTTGATGGTGTTTGGAGGAGTCTGTCCATCCGTTACATCCATCATTGCGGAGTCCCTCCAAGGCTGGAATCTGGTGCAGGTAAGGTCCGGGTCTCACCTTTGGTTGTCTTTGGCCACCAGTCTTTTGCAGGAATGGTTCCTTGTGCAACATGGCTCCTAAGTTGCCCAGTTCAGGCCTCCCTGACTCTTCCCTGGATGAATGATTGCCCAGCCCCCCGCCACCCCACCTCCTGGCCTGACCCCCAGGCCTGTGCTGGCACGGCCCGCGTGGTGGGTCTCTATGAGGTAGCCCCAACACCTCCGCTGCATGTTCGGAGTCCTTCAGTGACGGCCTAGCCTGACTCTGTCACCAGTGTCCAGCCAGTCCGCCTGCCCAGTGTCCTCTGCTGTCCCTGCCACTCCCTCTGTGCCTCGGCCCCTCGCAACCACTCACCCTTCCCCAAAGGCATCTTGCACCTTCGGGCCTCTGAGCCCTGCTCTCACTGTTTCCTAATCAGATGGGCCTTTACCTACTCGCTGCCAAGCCCCCCTCCCCCACTGACGTGGTCTTGTCCACCAAGACTGCTCCCCCGCCCACACACACAAGCCTTTGCTGGGGCTCCTGGCCAGGGTTCACTCTTCACACTGGCTAACGTCATACACCAGCCAGCCAGGGAGTGCATGGCCTGATGTAGGCGACACTCACCAGCGTCAACTGTTGTTTTGAACGGGAGAAGAAGAGTGTGGAAAGATGAGGGGTGGCCCACGCAGTTTGATCATGTCTTTGCTTCAGCCATCCAGCCATCCAGACATCCAACAGCTAGAATTCTGCGCCTGGGATTTTGGTAGACTCTGGGGAGACAGTGCTGACAGGACAGATAGGCGCCTACCCTTCCGTGCTAGGAGGGAGGTAGGCAGTGAGCAAGTAGGCAAGTCATCATCTAAGAGCAAACACTTGTGTCATACGTGTGCCAGACTTAGAACATACCAGACACTGTTCTGAGCGCTTCTTTGCATTGATGCAATCCCTATACCTGCTCTGTGCTGTAAGCGCTAAATCATTCTCATTTTATAAATCAGAAGACCCGGGCACGCAGAGGCCTAGTGACTTGCTCAAGGACGCTCAGCACTTAGGTAACTGAGCAGGGATTTAAACTCAGGGAGTCTTGAGCTGAGACTGTGGTAGGAAACAGCCAGGACGGAAATAAGCAGGGTGATGGGACTAGTGGTGACCGCCCCAAGGCAGTCAGGAAGGGCCTCTTGGCGGTGACATTTGAGCTGAGACCCAGAGCGTGAGAAGGAGCTGGCTGGGTCGATGGAATAGTCGATGCAGATGGCCTGTGCTGAGAAAGAACTTGGCTCATTCAGGGAGCGGAGAACGGGGCAGTGGGGCGGGAGCGTGGTCAGTGGGGAGCCGGGGTGAGAATGAGGAGGCCAGCGGAGCCTGACCACAGCAGGATCTGGTTTCCCTGCAATCCTGTTGACTGAGGAGCTCGCATGAGGTGCTGGGGGTAGAGCCCCGACCTCACAGCTCAGAGGGAGGCTGGAGCTACCCGTGACTGAGGTATGAGGAGGAAGGGGGTGAGGTCCCAGGGAGGGCCATGCACTCAGCCCAGGGGCAAGGAAGGCTTCCCAGAGGAGCAACGTGGGGCTGGCTGGAAAGGAGCAGAGGATGTTGGACAGCTGGAGCCGTGCAGGAGAGCATTGCTGGCAGAGGAAACGGGGTGCTCAGGAGCGGGAGGTGGGGGAGTGCGTGGGCCTGGGGAGCAGTGAGTCATTCACTGTGGCCTGAGCAGGCCACGCTGAATGTGGGTGGATGCAGCAGGAGATGAGGCCCGAAGAGCAGCTCGGCATGCTATGGTGCAGAGCTAACCACGTGCCTGCGACCCAGCGCCGCTCACCTGGCTTCGAGCCCTGTGGCTCCTGCAAACAGCCGTGAGACCTTGGTCAGGTCACTCTCTCTGTGTTTGAGCTTCCTTTCCTGAAAACTGAAGAGCTCGCTCCACTCCCTAGGCAGCAGGGCCAGGCATTCCCCTGTATAGGGATTCCTCTGTAGAATCAGGGGAGGGAGAGGACTGATCTCATAGGACGGCTGTATGGATTCAGGGATGAAATTGTGATTAGAGCCAGGCCTGGCCCATCCTAAGCACTAAGTGTTCCTCGTTGTATTGTCACCCCTGCCCTGCCTCCTACTGCTTCCTGAGTTGAATACCTCGACTCCTCAGCCTTCTGGGTCTTTCTTGCCACATTGTCCCCCCACCCCCGAGATGCCTCATTCTCCCCATGCCTAGTGTGTCACCCATCCTTGGAGACCCAGCTTAAATGCTACCTCTTCCAAGAAGCCTTTCCTTACTGTACTCTCTAAAGTAGCCCCTCTAAAAATTCTTTTTCTCACTTCCCTGCATTTACTTCTAGCAGAACACGTACATAACCCACCCGTCGTGCCCTCTGCCTGTCCCTCTCTTAGGGCTTTGCCCCTGTGGGGGCATGTTTAGCTGGGTTGTACGCTCCGTAAGGACAGAACCTGGCCCTGAGTTCCTCTTGTTTTTCCTAGTGCTTAACACTCCACAGACATTATTCTGCGTCTGTTGAATGATCAGAGGGGTGGAGGGAGGAAGGAAGGGATGGAGGGTAGAAAGACCTGCATGCAGATGGACATTTTGCTCAGACATGGCAGGCCAAGCTCCCTGGACAGTCCCCACACAGAGAGGAATCCAGGGAGCTTCCGGACCTTTTCATAGCCTCACTTGGAATGGTTTGCTCCTCAGAATTCTCTGAGGAGCTCCAGGAGGGAGCACAACGCTGAGGACTCTGGCTTGCCGGCCAGAGCGGCCTGGCCTCAGCATGAGCATGGAAGGCCTCCAGCTTCGAGAAGTTGACAAGACAGGAGACTGGGTTATGAAGTCGGGACCGTGTTAGTTATCACTGCATAATGAATCATGCCCAAATTTAGTGGCTTGAAACAACAATAATCATTATTGCATTATTTCCTTGGGTCAGAAATTCAGACACAGAGAATGGCTTATGTCTGCACCATAATGTTTGGGGTCTAGCTGGAAGATTTGGAGACTGGACTCTAGCATCATCTGAGGGCTTTGACTGGGGCTGGAGGATCAGCCCCCCAAGCAGCTCCCTCACATGGGGGGACACATCGGTGTCTCTCCTGTAGGTCTCTCATAAGGCTGCTAGAGTGTCCTCATGGCATGATAGCTGGCTTCCCCCAAAGCGACTCATCTAGAGACCAAGGCAGAGGTGGAAAAGTCTTTTAGGACCTTGCTTCAGAAGTTGCACACTGTCGTTTATGCCTTATTCTCTTGGTCATACAAATTAGTGCTTATTTAGTGTGGAAGAGGACTATACAAGCTGTAGTGGGAGGTGAAAATCACTGGGGCCCATCTTGAAGGCTGACTACCACAGGAAGGAGGGATTCTGGGAAGGAGGCAGGATCGCAGGCTGCCCAGCAAAGGAAGCTCCATGCTGAGTCCCTTGTCTGTTTTGAGGAACTCCTGCTCATCCTTCAAAACCCTGGATAAGTACCTCTTCCTCTGTGATGCCTTCCCTGATCTCTTTCCTTCTGTGCCTCCCATAGCCCCAGAGTGAATTAACTGCTCCTTCCTCAACAGAGCCTGCTCTGTGAAGGCCATCTCCCACAAGCCAGTGTAAATTGGTTCTTGTGGGGAGGGAGCGAAACATCCTACTCTTTTTATGTACAAAGCACAGAGATACATACGGTACATAAGTAGATCTATAGTATCTGTGGCATTAAAATTTCATGAGCGGTGCAGGGATAGGAAAACATGTCTATAAGGGCTTCTCAGGAGAGTAATGGCGAAAAGAAGATTGGGAAGCGTGGTTCTACGTCATGTCTGTTGCATCCGATATTTTGTCATTAAAGGAATTACATTTTGTGGGAGATGGTTTATTCTATTTCCAGGTGTTCCCTGCTAGAATATAAGCTTCTTGGGGGGCAAGGGGCCCCCATTTTCTTTGTCCCCCAGCTCCCAGGGCCTAGCACAGGGCCTGGCACCCAGCAGGTCCTCACTGAGCGCCGAACTGACCTAAGTGCAGGGCGCAGGCTGTGGAGCCTGAAAACCCTCCGCGGCAACAATTTCTTCCCAGCGTGGACGTGACCGTGGTGAGGTGGAGGGCATGGGAGGGAACGCAGATTCTCGGCCCCCACTGCAACAGGATCACTCTGCATTGCTGCAGACAAGCACGGCCCACCACTACCCTAGAGATCTGCTGGGGGACTGCATAAGGTCAAGGGCTCCAACTGCACACTGATGGGGCCGCCAAGGGGCAGGGAACTGGATGGTGCCTGGCAGTTTGGAGAGCTCTGGGGACCTTGGAGGCAGAATCACAGGATGAGCGCAGGAGAGTAGACTTCTCCCAGCTTGTGGAGCCAGCCGAGGAAAGTGGAGCAACAAAGATCAGGATCTTGATAGGAAGTAACCTTGGAGCTTCTGCCTCCCTCCACGTTCTGGGAAGGTAGACTCTGGGGACCTCCCGGCCCCCTCCCCACCTCTGAGAGGCTGAGCTGGCTTTAGAGATGGTGCAGGGGCTGGAGGAGTGGGCCTACATTCACTCAAGGGATTCAGTAATCCCTTAACTTATTCAAAACTGGGCTCCCAAACAGAGTTTCGCAAATGGGAAAATGCATGTAATTTGTGTAATTGAAAAGGAGCTCTGACTGCCCTTTGGGGGAACAATGCTTGCTGGACAGCCTGGAATGTGTAATCAGTTGTTTCTGTTCCCTGGTGCTACAAAAATAGGGATTCGCGCGACGGAGGGGTGAAAATTCAGCCTGGTGCCAAAATCGGTTAAATTTAACTTTTGCCTTTTGCCGGGCTTCTTGATTCCTGGTTGCTGCGTCGAGAGGCTAATATTGTTTAAGTCATGATGTGAGTCACTCGGCCACTGGGGAGCGTCAGCTCAGCCAGCTAGATGCGAGGACCTTCTTAGAGTCCAGGCTCTGTCCCTCCCTGACCTGGTCAGATGCCGCCCTGGGGGAGCTCAGAGCTGGGCCTCCCTGGCAGGGACCTATCAGGACACAGGCTGGGAGGCGTCTGGGAAGGGCCAGGGTCTGGCCCTGGGAGACAGCATGTTCAGACTGGAGGACACGCAGGAGTCTTCGCCTCCAGAGCTGCATGGTTCTGTGAGAGATGTTGCTGGTTCTCAGTGGTATAGGTGGGGAGATGGGGGAGCAATGGCTGAAGTTAGTGGGGAGCAGAGCTTCCACTCCCTGCAAGCAAGCCCTTATCGCTGAAGGTATCCAGAATGGGGCAGGCTGCCTGGCTGTGAATGAGGGGGTTCCCTGTTGCCTGAAGTTGCCCGAACATTCCAATCTCATCCAGGCC